TCTGTGGTTAACCAAGTCTCGGTAAGCCCAATTATAGAGGGAAGACATTGGGACGAATTATCTAAGAGGAATTGAAAATCATCAAAATGTTTATTAATACTTCTAATATTTAAATGGAATAAAGAAAATGTATCTTTATTAATATTATTATTACACATAAAGTCTTTGAATTGATGGTTAGTAATGTACTCAGTTAGAGAATTGGCGATAGTCTCATCATATCGATCATCACGAAGAGAATTAAACGCTAAGTTATTATGTAACGTATCCATTTAGAGTTTGACCACAAAAGGATTGCGTAACAAAATAGTAGTATAATATACAATAATGCGCAGTATCTAAAATGGAAGTTTCAAATTTAGTTAGAAAAAGAGAATCGGTCTGTATGGACAACATTGTGATATAAAAATGGAAATTAAGTATAGACAAGAACAAATACACAAGTAAACATAGACAAACAAAAGACGAACATTTAACAGATATGAATATATTACAAGAAATCTCCGCAGGCTTGGAGAACAAACGATAAACATCCGCAAAATCGTAACAAAGCATTACAAAGCAAAACAACACTATCTTGAACTCCCTGATATAGATAAAGAAGTTCGAAATAGATTTTCAATGTAGACTAGTCATAATTATAATTATACGCAACAAAAGAGTGAATATAAAAGAAATAATAATGAAAATTACTTTCATTTTTTAGAAAATACATATACAAAAAAACAAATAAAAGAAAAAAGAAAAAAACGTCATTATTAAATACTTATTTATTTAGACCTCATGCGATTGCGCATCGTGGCAGACCGTGAGCAAAGCATCCTGAGGGCAAGAAAAAATATTTAAAAAAATATATATACAAACAGCAACAACAAAAGCATGCTGCCTCATCAAATTACTATGCCCGGTAAGCCACGAGACGCCACCGTACTAAAACAAAAAAAAACAACAACAAAAATGTTACAAGCTCCAATATCAAAATTATTTAGAATAAGGCGAAAACAGGAAATGTAAGTCAGTATTCAAAAGACATTTGAGTGAGAAAGGATGGGGTATAAAAGAGCTGAGAATGACAAAGTCAACGAAGCGTAAACCGCGGGATAAAAGAAGGGGGGGGGGAAACAATGACAAAGAGGATTTTTAAGGACCAAAGATCATCTTTAAAAAGAAGGGCTATTAAAACAGAATTTTGGTTACGTTTATTAATTCACTAACGAAATATAAATAAAGGAATAAGAATACCTTAAGAGCATGCATACTGAATGTTGAACAGAAAACGAACAGGGTATATGGGTTCAGAGCCAAGAAAATAGTGTCAGCGCAAAAACTTATTTGAAGCGTGATCTGTAAACAGACAATAACACTAACCTCTCAGCTCCGAACCCAAACACTCGATGATAGTGTTTATTCATGCTTGAAAGTCCATGACATCAGAGATGCTAATTCCACAGAACAATCATTACACTAAAAAGTAGGACGCGAAAACCCCAAATAATCCTAGACAGCCGAACAAAAAGCCTCTGTCATAAGAGAAAGCAATCTACTAATTTGAAAAGCATTCCCAAAATTTCATTCCAGTGAAAGTGAAAAGCCAGTGTTCACAATCCCAAGCGCACGGCAGAAAAAAAGGTTATTTTATGTTTAAGCTTTCTCTCATGAGAAGACACCCGGCTCAGCCGTCTAAAACATTCCTGCCATACATTACCCAACCTGCCATGCATTACCCAACCTCCAATGCCCGGGGGGGGGGGGGGGGAATCACTGAATATTTGAACCAGGCATAGAAACGCTCAAATTAGGATAAACAAGATAAATGCAAACATAGTAAATCAATGAAAATTGGGTAGTTCAAAGAATTGAACATTTTGCGTTACAATTAAAATAGATGAACTCCTAACAAGCACGATATGGACCGTATGATGTATTAACCATGACCAATTATTATGAATAAAACATTTTAAACAAAGCATTAAAGAACCCTTTTAAAACACCATTATAAAGGTCAATAAACCAATAAGCATCAATTAACACAGTGGATTGTATGGGTTCTGAGCCAATTAAACGGTACGTATTACAAACTGCTCAGTTTAGACCCCAAAAACCCGATGGTAGCGTAAATTCATGCTTGCTACTGTAGTGCATGCTTCATGAAACTAGAATTCGAAGTGTGTGTTAAGGGGGCAGGGGAGAGGGGGGGGGGGGGGTGATATTACCATCATTGAATACTTGAACCATGCATAGAACACCTATATTGGGATAAATGAAAAAGTGCAAATTTGGGTAAATCGGTAAATTTATCCTTTGCACAACATTTATTTTATATTATATAGATCTATAATATTATGAATTTGTCGTGTTTAAATCAAATCATGAGAAATGTAAATATAATAACTGCTTTATTTGCGAAAAATATCAACATTCAAAATTCAAAATTCAAAACAGCTCACAGAACATTTCTGTTCGTTAGATCTGATCTTGTCAAATGCCTGTCATTTGCAAACTTATCAAATTCAAAATATCAGTTCACACACTTCATATTGAATTCAACCAGATATTTGACATTTAGTAACTTTTTGAATGAATTTTTGTTCATTAAACCAATGTTTTCAACAAAAAAAAAAAAAAAAAAAAAAAAAAAAAAAAAAAAAAAAAAAAAAAAATCCAGATAAATTTAAATATAATGAACTCATATCAGTTCACAAACTTCACATTCACTTTAACAAAACAAAAGTTTATAGGTCACTCGGTCCATTTTGTTTGTTAAGGGAAATCTTGTCATTTGCCGGTCATTTGCAGGCTTAACAAAAACATTCACAACCAGTTCCCAAACTTCACATTGAATTAAACATTATTATTCATCATTCAGTCCATTTCTGTTCCTTAGATCAATTTATCAATGTTTTCCAAAACAATTTATGATGAATGTAAATGTAATAAAATGATTTTCATTAGCAAATATGTCAAAATTTTAAAATTCAAAACAGTTCATAATCTTCACATTCAAATTCAAACTTACCAAAAAGTAATTCACTCCATTTCTATTCGTTAAGATCAGAGATCTTTTCGTTTGCAAAACTATCAAAATTCAAACAGTTTACAATCTCACATTCCATTTAACTAAAACAACATTGTATATCATTCAGTCCATTACTGTTCAGTAGATCAATGTTTTCTTTAAGATTCAGTTCATCAAAACAAAAGGGTGTTAATTTAAATCATTATTTTTTTCCAATAACAACTTTGAATTAAAGTCCATAACACAATTAAGATACATGAATGATTACTTATCTTCCCAGTTTGTCCATTTAGGTTGAGGTCCTGTCCCAGATGCTGGCTTCCTTGTTTGAATGAAAACTTTAGTCCCGTTGATACGGATTCTTGTGGACAGGTTACGTTCCTTGCGTAGCGTGTAGGCCACTGCAGCAAGTCGTCCACGCTCTCGTTTCATGGGGGGCGGGAGGTCAGTTCTGATGGTGACGCGGGCGAACTGCTGGCCCGGTGCGGTCGTCTGGCCGGACATCACAGTCACCTGGTCGGGTGCGGTCGTCTGGCCGGACATCACAGTTGCCTGGGGGGTGGGGTGAGTGGGGTGCTGGCTCATGGCGGGTAAGTCAGCTGGCTTGGGGCGTTGTCTACGAGATTGCTCGAATACACACGCACACGCACACACACACTCACACACACCCACACACACGAACACATACACAAATAATATATATATATGTACCTCTCTCTCTCTCCCTTTCTCTTTTTTTCTCTCTCTCTCTCTCTTCCTCTCTCTCATTCTCTTTTCCACTTTTTGCTGGATCCAAGCTGGAATGATCAACAAAAGTAGGTTAATATAGTCACATCATGGTAACAAAACAAAAGGCGGATGTGTTTTTCTGTCGACCCGGATCTGTTCGCTTCCGAGTTTTGGGACGCTCAAACAACATGCTAAGGAAGCGGATTTTGAGGAAATTTCGAGAAAACGGAGCAACAAAGTCTAAATCCTTCTAGGCATACTTTAAGTGTCGTAGCTGTAGGTTCATGGGGGGTGGGGGGGGGGGGGGCATGGGGCACGGGGGCACGGGCCTCCCCAATCGAAATACGCAATATCATGTGAATAGAGAGAAAGAGAGAGATTTTTCTCCTCCATCAACGCTCCGTTATTCATCTCTTTAAGTCTTCCTTATGTTCTCTTTTCTATTCTTTTTCTTTTTTCCCCTCACTTTTTGAACCCGAGATCTCCTATTTGATTTATCCTATTTCCCTACGTCTCCCATTTCTCATACTCTGTTCTCACTATACAGTATCTAAAATTCGACACATTGTTCGTACATCCTCTGTTGGTGCATCGTGTATAAAAGGTATCAAATTCCAAAGAATTTGGTTTTATCGAACTAAACTGAAATCAATGACTGCGATGATCTTAAACAAGAGACCTTCATGTCCACCGTGACCTGATTTTTAAAATTCTCTTTATTGTAAAAAAAAAACACAAAATATATACAGTGTATACAACAATTCAAATTGATATTAATATACAGAAACATATAATACAACTATTGACAAATCGAAGAGATAATTCATTTTTTCGTTGGATCTAACTACTTCCAGCATTATAAAGTATGACACATGAAATATTTAGAATATATACAGTATTATGTAAGGAATGACCTATGCAAAAGCTATAGGAGTGTTCACACACCTTTGCCGGAATCGAAATGAACAATGTATGGAGGTACGTACTCCATTTTGCTCTTCCAGTAAAAGAGTAAGGATATAAAATACATAGATTGATGTTTTCTTTTTGGAAAATCTGGTTCACTAAATTCAAATGTGTATCCCTGTATATTGATAATTGAAACATATTAATGTCGATATACAATTGTTGTTATCATTGTTAGACCAGCTCAAATTTCATTGTTCAGGTAAATATATAAATAAGTTGAAAGTATTATTCTGCTAGTTTCTTGTTCTCGAAATATATTGCATACAATACATGTATTGTAGATTAAAACCAAACATTACACATCGTGTCACAGGAAAATTATCTGATTCAAGTCGACTTAGCTATGATATCTTGATGAAAGTACTGATAGACAAAAAAAAATAGAATTGAAAATACTCCTGACCGATTCTTTTGAAATTATGAACAAAGGCGTAGCACGGTAGCTCAGATAAGACAATTGTGTGTGGAATTGGCTCCTCTCATCTCCTTATCATGTCTTATTTCCTCTCTCCATTTCTCTCTCTCTCTAGTTATTTTTCGTTTTTCGCCATTTTAAAATCGACGGGATGGGCACGCGCCCCCGTGCTCCCGTATATATAGCTACATGCCTGGTTAATATGACCGCGTTCTATCGCGAGAAGATAAACATGTCCGTAGAAAGTCTATGCATTTAACACCATTATTGTCCGACATGTAGGTCCATGGTTCGAATCGCCGGTCCAAACCATCAACAGTTCATCTTTCTCACAGCTTCAATGATACATTATTGTTATGCCCCTAGAACTAAAGCATAATATATGCCCAACAATGTGGATAAGACGATACCGCACACTATTCCAGCTATTGCCCAGCCCAACGCATGCTGTGAGGTGGAACGAGCGCCATCGTCATCGCCAGCCATTTGTTTGTCCTTGGCCTGTGAAGATAGGGAAAAAATAGACAAACTTTGACAGACATCACTTTAAATTGAAAAATTACTGCCGGGAGGATTAAGAATTAATCAAAATTGGAGAAATAATTTGGTACCATTGCAAGGGGGGGGGGGGGTGCGATGTGAGGGGAAAACCATCAACAAATCACATTCATAGCTTTCCAAAGTATAATCCTAAAACTGACGAATTTGCTTCGCTCAATTTCGTCCCGTAACACAAGTCGTTTTCTGGCAAAAATTCGTGACGTCATTCTGGAGACATTCTTGGAAGAATACATTGCATCGCCAAATTTCCAACAATCATAATGTCCTATTTAGACTCCGATTCTGATTTTGGATTTGTATTCCTTCATCAGGTTATAATCAACATGATTGCAAAACCTTTCAAAAAATTTACATGAGCAATTCTCAACTGTCATAATTTAAAACCTGCTAATTTTCACCAATTATCACATGAACATTATTTTAATTTTTGTTATTACGATTTCGTTATGTTATGTAGGTTTTTAATTTTGCTGGATATAAATTAACATATACGTCTTTTTATTTTATCCCTTGATCTTTTGATAACTCTGTAATGTCAAAAGATTGATTTAGGATGGAATGAAGAAAATGTCATACAAACATACATTGTAATCGCCCTGTTTTGGTTAGCGACATCATCACGTTACTTCTCGTCGAGAGTGGTGTGTTGTATTTCTGCCTTTGTTTGGTTGAGGTTTAATATTTTTATTAACTTATAACTTATTTCTGTCTCGTTCTGTCTCAGTTCAATACACTTTATGGCCAAAATTCACAAAGGAGGTTTGTCGACAAACCTAGGTTTATGTGCATCATGGGACGCGTTTCAAACCATGACGCGTTTTGAAACGCGTCGAAACGCGTCATATGACGCATATAAACCTAGGTTTGTCGACAAACCTCCTTTGTGAAATCGGGCCTTTAACTTTGATTTTAAATGCTTACCCTTGATGCCATGACGACAGCCACTAGACCAAAGGGTAGACAACAGCATAAAGTGACCATCCAAGCCATGAGGGAATAGTCGGGGACTTGCTGTCTGGGCGCTCCCGAAAATGCATTCGTGGATCGAGGAGCAGTCTGATAAATAAAATAAACACATCAAGAGTCAAATGGATCCTATTGCTACCAATGAGGTCACAAATATTTAAAAAGCAATTATGACCATACAGCAGTACAGATACAATGTGGGATGGCTCCTTCCTTTTGAGCGACCCCTTATTCGAATAATCTCTAGATGTCTTTCTTTGATTTGTGATTTTCTTTTCATTACCTTTCTTATAATGTTGTCTTCGTTCTTCATCAGACGTTGAATTATGTTCCATTCCCTCTCATTCCTCTTAAATTCATTTAATAAGTCGATTATAACTTCATCTATTTAAAGAATCTCATTCATTTTGATTATTCTACTTACACGAACCACTGTAGTTTGTGGTTGTGGCTGAGCTTGGATGTGATTGGTTGGTTGTAAGTAAGCGGGCGGGGCTCCAGATGGTACATCATTCTGCTGTGGCAGGTATCCAGGCTGTACCGAGTGGCCCTGTGAAGGTGGGTACATCGCTAGTTGTGACCCCATCCTCACATTGACCATGCCGAGGTGCTGCTCTTCTTCTGCAGATATTGGAATCTCCGTGGCTAAACAGACAAAAATACTTTTATCATCGTCTATTAACAGGGATAATAAATTGGGTATTAATTTGCAACCTTTTCAATAATTTGATGAATTAGGAAAAAATAATTATGAAAAGCTGATAAACCTTTCGTATATCTTTTCAATATTGTCTATTCAACTTTTTCAATACATTTGCAATGGTTAGGGGAAGTTACAAAAATCTTCATCTAGTTCGAGTAAGAAAACATATGCGTTACACAATAGTGGTGATCTTCCACGAGGCTCCGTTTGGTAACAAGAAAATATAGTCATATAGTCATAAAGTCAATATAAAATTTGTATTTTAATCCAATGACGGATCACACACTATGAATATGACTGACAAAGAAAGCGGACAAAATATACAGTTCCTCAGGTAGACAAAGGAACATCCCTTCACTGCTATTATGTAAAAATGTGTAGAACAGGTGTCACATGCATATTCACTTTTTACATAATAGCAGTGAAGGGATGTTCCTTTGTCTACCTGAGGAACTGTATATTTTGTCCGCTTTCTTTGTCAGTCATATTCATAGTGACATTTACCATGCTTTTTACACCGTAAAATATTATCGTGTCAATAATTGAAATTCAAAACGAAGAGCCCAAATTTATTCAACACTATCGCAACTTTTTCGGAAACTCACCTCTAGGCAATTTCAATAAGCTATAGTTCGCCCCCCCCTATAAATCATGTTCGGGTTACGTAATACGTCATCGTCATGTTCGCACATTTCAAGAGGTTTGTGGTCGTTATTTTACCTGACTACTAAGAAAGCATAAATGCTTGTAAGTAAGCAACCAGACGGCCGGCGGCTTTAGGTCCTCTCCGAAGGGACCTTGTAATGAGGATTAATAATGCCTTACCAAAGGGCACTAGCGCAACGACTTGGTTTCGAACCCGGGTCACCGGATTGCGAGACCACTGCTCTACCGACTGAGCTATCGCGCCTCCTTAGTAGAAGAAGCCCGAGAAGAAGTACTACTACAAGCTAGGTTCACAAGCTAGGCTATTGAAATTGCATCCATTTTTTGTTGAAAGTGTTGTTCGCATCTCTGGAACAAACTGCATCGGTTACAGAATAAAGATCACTTTGAAGAAGGTGATATGATTATACTTACAAGTCATTTTGTTGTAAGTCTTTTTGCTGATTTATGCCGATTCCGGTAACTTCAGTCGTGAGGCAATGGTTTTTAAGAACGCTCTAAAACTTGAAACGATGTGGCTTAACTTTCCTCGAGTGACTGAAACGAGTTCATATCACATCCTCATTTATAGGAACTTGACAAATTAAACAAACAAAAAACTCAACGCCCCACCCACCACTCAGGCAGGTAACGGAAAAGTGTTCTTCGTACTACGGATTTGTGCCTACACTCTTTTAAAAATTAGGTTATACCCTCCTATAACTTCGAGAATTTTCCCTTTTCTACAGGGAACCGGATTTTGGAGTAATGCCGGAAAGAAGAGAAATTGCAACCAGGCCCGGTACTTTATTGTCAACATTACCATATTTGGCAGTCCGATAACAACCAGTCAATGAACTTTTTTTTGTTTGGTCAGGCTGGGGAGGGGACCCAGGCCCCCGGGCTCCCCCTGGATCCGGCACTGCTTCTACTACTACTACTACTACTACTACTACTACTACTACTACTACTACTACTACTACTACTAATAATAATACTAATAATACTAATACTGCTACTACAACTACTACTACTACTACTACTACTATACTACTACTATTACTGTACTATTATTATACATGTTCTACTACTCATACTACTGCTACTACTATAGTACTACTAATACTACTACTACTACTACTACTACTACTACTACTACTGCTACTACAGTACTACTACTACTACTACTACTACTGCTGCTTCTGCTACTTCTAATGATAAAAATGATTATGATGATAATGATAATGAAGATGATGATGGCAATGATAACAATAAATGAAGAAAAAGTAGTACTTCTTATGCACGAATTTAATGAAACATATGTATTGATACATCTGACATTTCTGATGCTCGATCTTTACATCAAATTTAGTGAAAGGAAATTAAAGGAAATATACATGTATCCGCTGAGCTGTTTGACCTTGCCTATGAACTCGCTCGCGGAAAATGGATTTCAGCGGAAATCTGAGTATATGAAAGCCGGGTTCTTGTCCGGGTTCAGATGTATGATGGTGGTTACTACGCCGATGACAGGTTCGAAAACCGCACCGCAGGCGCGTACGCAGGATTTTTTCAAGGGGGGGGGGATTACATTTATAAATCGGGCCGAAAATTTCGCAACGGCCCAGCCAGCCGCTGAGTAAGCGGGGGGGGGGGGGGGGGGGGGGGGGGGGGGGGGGGGGAAGGGAGGACACTTTTTTTTTGGTCTCGAAATTTGAAAATTTGACATTTTGCTCCGTTAGGGGGGGGCATATGGAAACGTTGTATCATCTGCTCAATCTGACTTGCGTGCATAGAACACATAAGCATTTTTCCATGAAAAAGTGAAGTTTCCTAAAATGTGCGTTTCTTTCCAGCATTGGGGCGCCCGGGAGTCACTCGGGTAACATTTCATTAAGTACAATATAAAAAGACCATATGCAAATTTTCTGTACTTTTGTCGGAAAAAATACATTTATCCAGCACAATGTCGTCCCTTTTTGCGTTGGAGAAGAGCAAATAGCGAGTTTCAATCACACTTTGGCCGCTCTCGTAAGCTCTCACTCGTTTCACTGTGGTCAAGCGACTTTGGGGCAAGCGGTTAATGAAAATACTAATCATTAGCTCTCTTCTAGTATTAAACTTGTTTTGATTGATTGTATAATTTTGTCGGAATAAAGGAAACAAAAAGACTTGACCAATAACTTATTAGGGTCTGAATTGACCTTTTGACCTTGAATTCCCTGATGCAAGCGCATAAATGACGTCATCTTCGCTAAATCGGTGTCTTTTATCGTAAAATGCTACACTTTCACAATGTTTATACATCTTTTTTAATTATTAGTAAGATATAACATATTTTGTCTGATATCACTGAAGTTTGGGGTTTTATTTAATAAGAGCCATTTTACTGTTTTAATTTACTGGATCGTACCATTAAAGTCGTAAGGTAGAAAGATGCATTTTCCAACCGCGCCAAATTTAATTTACGTTCCGACATTCTGTTAAATGGGTTCGTGTTGTTAAGAATCCACTGCTTTCTGCTCCAACAAACGTTCACATGCGGAGTCGTTTATCAACTAAATTATTCAAATTTATGGATGCTTCCTTCCCAGGTGTTTGTGTTGTTGAAGCATTTCATTCACCTGCTATCATTCTTTGTACTCCAATTGCCAGAACGCAAATTACATTTTGGTTTTATTGTTTCATGGCGGAGTCGTTTATCAACTAATTATTCAAATTTATGAATGCTTCCTCCCCAGGTGTTTGTAGTGTTTATGCATTTCATTCACCTGTTATTTGTTGTACTTATATTGTTAGAATACAAAATGCATTTTGGTTTTATAGTTTCATGCAATAAGTAAGTCAATAAAAGAGTATGTTCTGCACAATAAAAACAATGTGTGTCCCTATTGTAAAATGTAATATGTGTCTCCTCATTTTGTAATAGTTAATTTACCCATTCACATAATAGAACTACCTGCCTGGTGAAGCCACTGGTCCGTGACCCCTGAGCACTCAACACCGTCTGGGAGTCAGTTTGTGTTCAACTTCTTTTATGAGACAAATAGAAGCAAACGTTTCCATATGGGGGGTAAGGTCACCTTTTTTAGGTTACCATGGGAATAATTTGTTTTAATTTTTTTTTAAATAATTAAAAAAACAAAAAACAAAAAACAAAAAAAGGGGGGGGGGTTTAGGAGGGTTATGTGGGGGGGGGGGGGTTACACACATAGAAATACCAAAGGGGGGGTTTAACCCCCCAAACCCCTCCCCCCGAATTATAACGAGCTGCAGATTCACTGATAAAAAAGGGACAGTGGCGTCGTATCCATATGAGTTGAAAAATAAATCAGATTATTCCGATGACCTGTCTTTCTTATTTCTTATTTCTTTAATTGAAGTCCTGTCCAATTTTTTAATGTTTTTTTGTTTGTTCGTTTTGTTTCGTTTTGCCCTTGTTTTTGTTTGTGGCTTGACGTTCGGTGTTTGATGAACATGAAATTCGATCCCCCAACCCCCCTCCATTTAATATCGTCTCATTACACTCTATACCCCCCCCCCCCCCATCCCCGCCTAACCCGCCGCATTTAAAATGATCTCATGACTATCAATACAAACAAACCTAGCGCCCCTGCGCCACCCGAAAGCCATTTTTTTTGCCGACCGATGTTTGCAAATCCATCATAATGTTTAAACCATGAATATTATATCCATGTTTACCCACCTTTGTTTCTTACTCCTCAGTCACACAGCTAAACCGAATTGACATATACCAAGAAGAGAATCGACGGACCTATTGATATCCGCATGCACAACGTACGTCGCTGGCAATTAGTTTGAACAAGCTTCCTATGTTTACCCATCTGTCAAATGACAAGGCCAATTGCATTCATGAAAGTATTGGCTGTATAAATATGATACATTCCTCTGCAAATATCCGATTCTGACACCTTACTCCTGTAGCTTCGTAAAGCATTGCCTTCAAGACAAATATTCTGACATCTCTAGGCTGTGTTCTTACGGTGACATTTTCCTTGGTGCTGTGTAGTATGATCAGAATTGGCGATTTTCGTATTCCGATAGTTTTTTGAACTTTCGTTTCTCCGGACGTTGATATTGATATTGATATCTTCCCTGCATCTCATGTCATGAACTTGGGTTGCGAGTTTAATTCGTACATAGCCATGAATCAACATAAACGTCCTGGGAGTGTTACCATTTCGTGTTTTTTTTTTTTTCTTCTTTTTTTTTTTTTTTTCTTTCTTCATTTTTCTTTTTTTTTACAATTCAATTATGAGTTCTGAGTTTTGTTGATCGATCGGGTGGTTGGTACATGCACAACATTACTTATTATAGGCTCTGTATAAGCTTGGCTTGTTAGTAATGTGCCGCGGGATTCCATATCCTCAAACTGCTGGCGAACAGAGCAACAAGACCAAGCTCTGTAATTATTAGGATCTCTGTCCAGTAGTGCCGTGTTTGTGCCATCGAACTGGATCGACCAAATCAATTGATTCATAATATATATATATATATATATATAATATTTTTTCCCGTAACATGAGAGTAATTTTAATAGTTTCATACTATCAATTAAATGTAATGTTAACTGTTATTGTACAATTGTTTTAAATGGGGGCACGCTACAAGAGTCCTATCTCGCACCCCGGGGCAACGAGTCTGACACGGCCGGTTGTAGCAACTACTCCGAAGATCAAGATACATTAATCTTGATCTAAGGAGACACGAACGAACGAAGCTACTTGCTCCCTCTATATAGAAAACTTCCCCAATCGGTGCCTGTTGGTCCCCCATGATCCTCTTTTTCTTATGTTAGTTGAGAGCTGAGTTAATGAGATAGCCACCTGTCAGTGACTTCGCTGTGTGGTCTAATCCCTTCTTGCCCAGTAGTATTGACGGTCTTTAAAATAAATAAATTAAAAAGCTAAATATCAAGCATTTTTGACTTTTTATAAATTTCACATCAAGGACATGAAATCTCCTTGATAATAGAAAATATGAATGATTTGAATCAACATCTTATGCCTTTTAAAAGAACTTTTACAAAATATTTTGATAGATGCTAACGGCTTTCCATAATTTTTAAGTCCATCTTAGAGGTTCAACTTAGGATCTTTTTCGAGAAAAAAATCCGAGGGTTCACCAGACCGAAGTTGTCGGTATCGTTAGCTTTCGATTTATTTGGGATCTATCGAAATGGATTACGAATTTTGTCTTTCTCCTTGCAGTTCCCATGACCAGTTCGGGTGGTATTCTGAACATGACAATCGGGATTCCAGATCCAGACGCTTGGTTTACTGTACCAAGCTTCTGTCCTAAAGAGGTATGACGTCATCCACGATTCCATCTGCTTCAGCATCGACATTATATCACTCTAATAAAAATTTCAAGAACAGTTTAGGGTACTTTGTTTTCACGAAACGCTTATACGTATATTAATGGAGAAAAAAAATGAGTGTACACTTAAAAAGAGTTCACGTTGGTCTTGTATGTCAAGTATGCGAAAACTGGGATGAATTTAATACATTCATTGTTATTATGCTTACTGTTGAAGGCTTATATATTTATTTAAGGCCTAAGAATTTACTGGTGTTTTAATTTTATTCAACATTTACTGACAACTGGTTTGACAATTATCATTTTAGATTTACTCATGAATTTCCTCTTGTATGCTTGTGTCCTTTCATAGTAATTCTTCAACAAAATTCAATACCGCTATTTCGATTAAACTTCTTTTCTTT